CTATAATATTAAGTGATCTATATATTGTTCCATAATATCAAGCATGAGCTATTGAAGCAGTATGAACCAAAAATCTGTTATGGATAACCCATTACCAATGGATGTGGGGAAAAATGACACTTATTTTCAATTAACAGAGACTCGCCAACACAAAATTTAGAGGTCTCATCACTACAAAACATAGGGCAATCTGAACAAAGATCCTAAAAGCACATCCCATTATGCAATCAGTCGGAATAGATCCGATCTTTAATATAACCCAATTAATTGTTCAGCATATTACACGTAAATTAACAAAAACAAAGGCAATTCGAGTAATCCAAGTATAGCTTCATCCTAAATATGTTATCCAGCACTAATCTAGCAGCTTAGCATCGATTTAGGCAAAGTCGTAAGAAGAAAAGAGGAAGTCAAACAAATCCAATATTCAAACATACAACCCTAATTTTTTTCGCCTGTATTCAAGTCTCAACATTAATTTTTATGCTCAAATAAATAAATAACAAAACAGAAACGTGAGATTCAAAGCAAGGGATCCGGGATTGACTTACGAGCAGAAGCACCAGAAAGCTGAGACGAGAGAGAAAGAGATCCGCTTGAGAAGGTAAAGGCGATTTCGTCTCTGGCTGCGGTCGTTAATCACTTCATATTCCGAAGACAGAAAACAGTATAATAGGACTGCCAAATGTGGGCTCAAAATGGTAAGCCCATTTTGGTTTATTTGGGCTTTGTACCATTCATTTTAGATTTGGGCTATAAGTAGGGGCTGATGGATAGTTATGTTGTGAATCCGTTACCGATGCAAAAACGAAGTCGTTTTATTAAAAACGCGCGTCTCCCCTTAAAAAAAAAAATCAGGTTCGATTCTCAGCAACAACATTATGTTGTTCATTCATTCTGGAATTTTAGTTCATTGATTCTGGAATTATAGTTCATCGATTATGGAATTGTAGTTCATCGATTCTAAAATTTTAGTTCATAGATTCTGAAATTTTAGTTCATTCATTCTGGAATTTTTAGTTCATAGATTAGATTATAGAATTATAGTTCATCGATTATGGAATTATAGTTCATCGATTCTGGAATTTTAATTCATATGTTGTTGTTGGGAATCAAACCTGAATTTTTTTTTTTAAGGGGAGACGCGCGTTTTTAATAAAACGACGTCATTTTTGCATCCGTATGCACCATGCATGGTGCATACGAATGCACGGCATAATTTGCCGGGGCTGATGTTTACCCCAAATGAAACATGGACATGGGTGTGAGCATACAGCCATTAATGTGCAATCCAACTATCAGCTTAGGGTTTTAATTGAGATGGAGCACATGCTTCAATTTGGTATTAGAGCCAGACCAAAGGTCCTACCAGCTTAGGCTTTTAATTGAGATGGAGATGGAGCACATGCTTCAAATTATATCGTGCACCGTGGTGCATAACGCGCATCAAAACGACGTCGTTTTGTTTAATGAAATGAAACAGAATTCGTTTTCGATATAATTACATCTTCATTGTACAATATACACTCAAATATGTGAAATGTTATTTAGTTTCATTTTATATATATTGCAGTTTCATGTCACCACAATTACAGTATCATTTTGATATAACTGCAGTTTCATTTGATAATATAAAAATAATACGTGAGACAGTGTGTCGGTTTAGATACACTGTAGTGCTTTCTCAAAAAACAAAAAAAAAAAAAAATGTTGTCATCTTCCTTACATAAGTTCAATTTTGAAAGAGCATGGGGAGACCGCATTGTCTGTAACGGTGCGAACACTCATATCTATTGCCGAATGGGTCGATCTTCATATCTCGAAATGGAAGGTGGACAGTGGTTAATTGTTTGATGCTTATGCTATGCTGGAAATTGTGGTCTGCCCATAATGATAAGGTGTGGAATGGCAAGGTGGTGAGTACGTCCAGAATCTATGGTGGAAGGAACAAAAAGATACAAAGCTGATTGGGACCACATTGTCTGTAACGGTAGGAACACTCATCCTTCCAGAAGATCGCCGGAACAGAAATGGGAAATGCCATCTCCAGGTTTCCTCAAGCTGAATAATGACGCTGCAATTCATCATACTCAACGACGCACCGGACTAGGCTGGGTCCTCAGAGACGATGTTGGGCAGCTAGTTGCAGCAGCATGCATACCAGGGAGGGGCGTCTACACACTCAAGGAAGCCGAAGCATTAATTAGCCATCAGGAAGGCCCTTAGTTGGGTTAAGAACCGTACCAGGGGATCAACCATGTTAAAGTGGAATCAGATGTTCTACAAATTATTCAAAGCTTGAAGCAGAATTCAGACGATTCTTCTTATGATTTAGTTCTTATGGATGGCAAAGATTTGTTACATTCAATCTCACATGTAGTTATCTCTCATGTTAACCGCACTGCGAATAGAGTTGTCCATAGTTTAGTTAGGGAAGCTTGTTCTATGTCTGTGCGTCCCCTCCTTCTTTTATTGTCAACGATTTGTACCTTGATTTGAATTAATGAATGTTATGCTTTTCAAAAAAAAAGGTTACATTTTGAAATATTGTAGCAAATTTCTCTTAGCCCCACATACGAATTTCGACTTTAGGAAACTTCGTGGTGAACAAATTAAAGTAGAACACAAGAACGAAAGGGAAAATTCCAATCCAATTTTTTTCCGTTCACTTTATCTTTTCATTTTGCTTGGATATTGCTGCAAGAATTTGCGTGCTCCATTTTGCGGCCACATACCTCACTGTTTACGCAAATATGATATTGAGTATTCTAAGAATTAGGCAATTAGCTGAATTGATTTGACAGTAGACAATGTTGTAAAAATCTCACTTAGTCATCACCCGTCCACTACTTAGTAGTATTATCATAATTGGTGGTCTATGCGGTTAGCTGATTAAGGAGTTTAGGTGTTGACCGCCTAGACCTCATAGGCACCAACTAGACCGTCTAATTGTCTATTAATTATTATTTTTTTAATGAATTATTTCACTCAAAACAATATTGTTTTGGACAAAATAATCTTAAATTATTCAAACTTTACATATTTTTGGGTTAATATTTAATATTGAATAAATACCCAAAATGGTCCCTCGACTATAGTTAAATTCACAAATTGGTCCTCGACATTCAATTTCAACCAATTAAGTCCTTAACTTTGCAATTTTAACACGATTTGATCTTCCGTCTATTTGACTGTTTGTTGACTGTGATTTTTGAGGATATATATGTAATTCCATGGTCCATCGTCGATTTTTTAAGGTTCCGATTGCATTTTCAGACCGCACTCTAGTTGAGTTCGTACCAGAGTGAAGAAGACGACGTGTTTTCGAAACGGTGCAACGTCATCCTGGAGGCCTCTATGTGCTCCGACGAGAGCTGCAGGTTCTTCTGGAGATCGTCGATGACGGCGCAGTCGCCGGCGATGATGCAGAATTGCGGCGAATGATGCAGAATCGTGAAATTACATACATATCCTCAAAGATCACGGTCAACAAACTGTCAAATAGACTGAGGACCAAATTGTGTTAAAATTGCAAAGTTAAGGACTTAATTTGTTGAAATTGAAAGTCGAGAACCAATTTGTGAATTTAGCTATAGTCGAGGGGCCATTTTGGATATTTACTCTTTAATATTTTAGTATTTTTTTGAAGCATAATATTTTAGTATTAATTATTAAAATATTAAATAATTTATAATTATTAGTCTTAAAAAATTAAAAAAAAAATTAAACATATTTTTAAAAAATAAAAAATACACGAACTTTCAACCAGGCCACTAGATGTAATATTTACCGAGTTTGAACTTATTTATTATGAACAACTATTTTATAAGACATTCTTCATCCATTGTACTCCAGAAACATACTATTCTAGAAATTATAGGATGCATTATGTAACATAAAATTATATTATATTAAACTTTATTTCACATAAAATTTTAAATTTGAACCGACTATTAATAATGGAAATACGACAATATTTCGACCATACTCAACATGGTCACATATGGATGGTAGCTTGATTCCAGTATTGCTGGGACAGGAATTGAAAGCGGACAAAAGTCGTAGGAAAAATCTCAAACAGTACAGAGTATAGACGTACAATGACGGATTCCCAGAAGCCTAGGTAGGATCTTCTTGAGCCGGTCGTATCTGTTATCTGTTAAATGTTAATCCCCCAACTTCAAAACTTGACTATATATGCTGCGGCTAAGGTATATATGTTGTCACATAACACCGCCACCGGGAGAAAACAAAGTTAAACATGAAAATTCCTGTGGTTTTTGGTTGGCAATAAATGCATCAACCCAAGAAGAACGTAACACTCCCGTACGCATTTGAGCGTCCGAATAACATCGACAGAACATTCAACCACTACACTAATTCATGACCATTCATTTTGAGTGATAAAGACAACGTAACCACTTTCTCTCTTCCCAAACATAATCTAATTAAGTGGCTAACATATGGAATGTGTAATTTTGTGGTTTACCAATTGGGATTAGTAAAGCATATCAAACATGCCCCAGTACAATTATTGGAGTCAGTCCAACAACATTAGCTTCCACGAGATTTTTGTTTGTCATGAAAAATGGAGAATTCAAAGAATCAGTTATGCATGTATGGCTTTCATATATACACGAAGCACAGCCCTATTCAGATAGCTCCTCCTATCACAATCCCACCCACTGCCTTGTCTTACTTTAACTTCTGGGGAAGTATCCAACTCACTTCGTTGATAGCTTCGTAGAATTAAAGGAAAACAGAATCACTGCGGGCGTTCTGCTCCCATTTCCGATTGACAAATGTAACGTAATTGTGGTATGATTGTAACTATTAGGAATTGATGATTAAAGCTTACTACAAGCGTAGTAACACGCAAATACCTTAAGTTAAAATTGATTGGGACCAAAAAAAAAAAAAAATTCGTTCCATATAAAGAAAAGCATATATATTTTTCAAATACTGAAAATTTTTCCATTTTGCACATATATAGCTATCACTCTCTCAGCTCATTATTTATATGTAGTTAGTCTTTAATTTTCTGGTCTGTCATCCACTCATCCCTGTCCATGATATCAGCCATGGAGCTACCCACATCGAAAATTGAATCTTGTTTCTCTCTGCCGGTAGATTCAGAGCACAAGGCCACCGAGTTTCGGCCATTTTCAATATCTTCACCCCACATGCGAGCTTTCCACCTTGCATGGCTCTCCCTTTTCTCTTGCTACTTCTCCACTTTCTCCATCCCTCCACTCATGGAGGTCATCCGAGCTGACCTCAACCTCTCCGACACTGACGTCGGCCGCGCCAATATAGCGTCCTTGGCCGGCTCCATCTTCTCCCGCTTCGCCATGGGCACCGCATGCGACCTGGTGGGGCCGCGTATCGCCTCCGCCACGCTCTCCCTCCTCACCGCGCCGGCAGTGTTCTCCATGTGCCTAGTCTCGTCGCCGCTGGCCTTCATCGTCATTCGCTTTCTCATCGGCTTCTGCCTCGCCAACTTCGTGGCCAATCAGTTCTGGATGAGCTCCATGTTCTCCGGCTGCGTCGTCGGGGTCGCCAACGGTTACGCCGCCGGCTGGGCCAACGTTGGCGCCGGCTTCACACAGCTTGTCATGCCGCTATTGTATTCTCTCATCACCACTTTCAATACACCGTCATCTTCAGCTTGGCGCATAGCGTTTGTCTTTCCGGTCATGTTTCAAGTAGCGACCGCAATAATGATCCTAGTTTACGGGCAGGACTTGCCCAACGGTTACTATAAACGCCGGAAAACCGACAAACGGGACGAGAATGTTTTCGGCATTCTCTTCAACGGGCTGAAGAATTACAGAGGGTGGATACTTGGATTGGCGTACGGGTTTTCTTTTGGAGTTGAACTAACGACCGACAACATTATAGCACAATACTTCTACGAGAGGTTTGGGGTGAACATTGAGACGGCAGGGGTGATTGCGGCGTGTTTCGGGCTGACCAATTGCATAGCTCGGCCCGGTGGAGGGGTGATTTCCGACGTGATGGGGAAGAGGTTTGGTATGAGAGGGCGGCTGTGGAGCCTGTGGGTGGTTCAAACGGTGGCCGGATTGCTCTGCGTGTTGCTCGGCCGTGTCAACACAATCTTCGAGTCCATATTCGTTATGTGTTGTTTCTCTGTGTTTGTTCAAGCCGCTTCTGGCCTCATTTTTGGCGTCGTCCCTTTCGTCTCCAAAAGGTACATAACCATGGTAGGGAAGGGAAATCCCGACCCGTTCCTCCAAAATTTTCGTTATCCCCGTCTTCGTCGGGCAGGGATGAGGGATTCTTGTCTGGAATGGAACAAATTGTCATCCCTAAATCATGACGTTGTGACCGGTGACATACACCTAATATCATCTAAAAAAACATATCTTTGAGTGGTTGTAGGTCACTAGGAGTGATATCGGGCATTAAGTTTATATTTAAATTTTGTTAAAAATTTTAATTTTACGTGAGAAGACATGGAAACCTATTGATTAAAAAACACATTTTTGAGTGGTTGCAGGTCACTAGGAATAATATCAGGCATTACAGGATGTGGAGCGACAATAGGAGCAGAAGTGACACAGCTACTGCTTTTCTCAGGCACAACTAATCTCCCAACCCAAGCAGGCATTTCTATTATGGGGATAATGATGCTTGTCTGCACCCTGCCAGTTACTCTTATCTACTTCCCCAGATGGGGCGGAATGTTCTGTGGCCCATCTCTACACCCAGAAGATGAACACTATAGCCTGCTAGAGTGAAGAGTATATGGCCACGTTCAACTAGCCTCTTAATTCTTAGCAGACCAAAGTAAATTTTTTCTTATTTCACCATTTATCGTGTATGCCTTTAAGTGTGTACTATGTACTATGTAGTTTTTAATGAATTCTAGTTTTATTTATTTATTTATATGTGATTATAAAAACATAAGTTGATGGAGACATCACTTGGAAACTTACTAGATAATAAGCCGCACAAGAAAATATCTTACTCAGAAGAATAAAATATCTGAAGATCTGATAATACTATACCTCATTGTTAGAGACCAGTAGGGAAAGCCAGCTGAAGGAATCATGTGGGAATCCGTTTTAACCATACACCAATTCTCATCGATATCCACAGTACATCCTAAACTCCATTTCCATAGACCCTCTCGAGCTCAAAGGTGCAGTAGCAGCAAAAGCTCAATTTTTCCTTAACTTTTTAAAAGTGAAACCTTATATATGGCTGAATCTTTAAATTTGTGTGTTGATGTTATGAAGACGAAGACAGAAACTTAACACAGCAAGTTGTCATTTGGGGAAAGCACCTGAAGAACAAGGAACAAACAAGAATTACTATGATTTGCTTGGCGTTTCTATGGATTCAAGTGTCCAAGAAATCAAAGAAGCATACAGAAAATTACAGAAGATATACCACCCAGATATCGCTGGCCAGAAGGTTGTCCTTTAATTTAGTTCTTTTGTTCTGTTTGTCAATTATTCAAACTTTCCTTTCCTTTCCACATATATCCTTTCTTCTCGATCTGTTTGGTCATTTCAGGGTCATGAGTACACCCTTCTGCTTAACAAAGCCTACAAGGTATTGATCAGAGATGATCTCAGAAGAGAGTACAATAATAATACTTCAGGTTTTGGAAGGTTTAGGTCTGTCACTGGGTACAGCTCATGGAATGGCCCCTTGAGACCTCAAGCTTTGTTTGTTCATGAGAGTGCTTGTATAGGTCAGCCATTACATACCATCTCTCCTCACTCAATATATACATATATATCCTATGTGTAATGTGTGTATTATTATTCATTAGTCATGGAATCGAATTCAAAAGTTGCATACTCGTATCAACTAAGCTAATTTAAGACAATAAGATTATGCGTGCCTTGCAATCCAGGGTGCAGAGAGTGCGTGCACCATGCGCCTAACACATTCGCGATGGATGAAAATCTTGGATGTGCACGCGTTAAGGTTCAAGATGGTGACACCGACAAGAAAATTGAGGTAGCTAGCTAGGCAGCATTCTTAAAAAACTTTTGTGTGAAACTATAAAACTGAGGTACTTGAATTGCCTCACTGTTTTACAGATGTCGGTTGATTCATGTCCTGTGAATTGCATCCACTGGGTAGATACAGAAGAGTTGGCAGTGCTTGAGCACCTATCTCGACCTCAACAAAAGCGTGGGCATGGCGTTTATGAACAAGGCTGGGAAAGACCAGCAAATGTTTTCATGGCAGCCAAATCATTCAACAAGCAGTTAATAAAGCAACAAAAAGAAGAAATGAGACATGGTAAATAAAGCACTTAGCTTGTTTGGTGTAAATAATTAAGTATACATTAACGCCATTTTTATTAACTAACACATATTTACTGCATGGTAGCAGAAGCAGCTGATGTTGAAGAAACCCCAGCTCAAGCACAAGCTCGAGCAAATGCAAATATGAAATTGAAGATAGAAAGGTTTTCAAACATTTGGAGCTGGTTGAAGAAGCAAATGGTCCACGAATGAAACAGAACAATATAATGCAAGTAGTGAAAGTAGCCACTTCAGTAATGTAACATATTACAAAGCCCTTCATGTTCTGGCCCAATGAGTAGACAAGAGATCAGAAGAAAAAGATACACAACTAATACGTATAGTACTGGCCCAATTTACAATATGACCCAATGTTTCTCTGCATCACACGTTGCGCTTTGAAAACATAGCCATTCTAGAACAATGGTTTGGTTTTAATTTGGTCGTTATAGGATGCTTACGCCTAGTACTTACGGAATTGTCGGCAAGTCTAATAAAATATATAGGGGGAAAAGACATCACCAAAACCACTTGTTGGTTCAAAAGATGCACTAACGAACCCAGCCAATAAGCAGACTATACGATAAGCTACACGATAAGACCACCGACCAAAAATGGCCACGTAACAAGCTCCATAACTAACGGCATCTATATATGAAATTTCGTATGAAGCGCAACCTGGTTGCCTGATTGGTACACTTGTGCTCCGTTGTGGCAGTTGGAGCCAACCGTTGAATGAAGTTGTTGAAACGGTTGCGAGTAGTTAGTGAATCCACCAACTCCAAGTCTCCTGGTATTAAAATATTGATTTCCGGGCTGTTGTCTTACACGTGTTACAACTGCCGCTTTCCACGCATTCACCTTATCTAGATGGCGACAAAAGCCTCCGATTGTCGGTGCATGTGGGTCCGTGTGGCCCATACGTGGCAGAACGGGCCCAATTGCAAACGTGAACCCTCTCTGATTTTTTGTTTTCTTCATTAATTTAATCACCTTTTTACTTTTATAAAATATACTCCGTAATTAAACGATACAGAGTACTATTTTCTCATTTTTCTTTTGAAACTACCTTCTAATGTTCATTAATAAGTTATATCAGACAGGCTACATTTTATTTGATAAGTTATGAGCAAGTAACTGGTCAAATACTTAGAACAACAATTCATATTTCTTAATCCTAAATTTAGCTTTCTAGACAACCAACTCTAAAGATGTCAATTGTACATGTACCCGATAGGGAAACCCGACACCCCACTACGGGAACGGAGAATGAGAGCGGAGATAGGGAGAAGTTTTAATTTTTTTACTGGGGACGGGGGCGTGGATGGAGTGTACTCTCCTCGCCCCGCCATGTCTCCAAAAATTATATATGTGTATAACTATATAACTATATTTTGATTATATAGTTTAAATATTTGTTTTGTTCATTGAACATTTTTTTATCGCGCATTATATTGCACATATGTTTATAACTAACACACACACACACATATATATAGAGGGTTGCATTCAAATACAAACCACCTTAAAATACAAATCCCCCTTAAAATACAAACTTGAGCTCGTGCACACATTAACATACTTACATGCACACAGCGCGTAGGAGAAAAAGCAAAACCATCCATCAAAGCTCGTGCACACATTAATATACTTACATGCACACAACGCGTAGGAGCAAAAAATCACAATCATCAATCAAAGCTCGTGCACACATTAACATACTTACATGCACACTAGGCACAATGCCAACAATATCTAGGATTAGCTTGTGCACACATTAATATAATTGCATGCACACAGTTTGTATTTTAAGGGAGGTTTCTATTTGAATATAATCCTATATATATATATATATATATAGGGGTGTACTCCAGTGTGAATTGCTATCCAGGAGAGAAATATGATTAATCCGTTAGTCTAACGGATCATAAGCATTAAAAAATATTTTAGTATTTGTTTAAATAACTCAAACTTTGAAGTGCAAGTTTTCTCATGTGCGTTTGTTCTTACTATCCGAATTATCATATGTGTGTGTGTGTGTTAGGTAAAGATACAATTTAGATGTCGAGCCCTATGCGATTATGATAATATTAAAAATGTAAATTTAAATAAAAACTGAACAAATAAAAACACCATAATAACAAACAACTATAATGGTAAATTATAATTTTTAAACGATATATCAATAACATATTCAAAGTAGCTTTTTCGTTTTTAGCTTATTAGCATCAATAACCTAAGTTAAAATGATGTTGACCAAATACTCATACTAGCTATCATTCGACCAATCAAAATAAAGCTAATTAAACAAACTAAATTTGACTGATAAATCATTTTCAAATACTAACTCTATAAAGTCAATCTGTTACATACATGTAATTAAAACTCGCAATCTCACACTTATTATTCAACCCAATCTATTCTAATTGAGTCAATACATCTTGATACTCTCAGATATAGAGTTCATAGAAATTGTAACTTCAAACTAGCATTCAGATCAAATTCAACAATTCAATATATCTCATCTATATCTCGTGTATGAATATATATGATATATAATATAATATTCGCACTCTCCTAATTTTTGCCCCTCTCCAATTAGTCGTTACAAATATTTTTCTGTCGTAAACAAGACTGAGTACATAGGCGGGATAACCATGGTTTGATTTAAACTATACGGTTGAAACTAAATTTGAAACTATAAGCCTTGGACCTTCTCTCCCTTTGGTCCCAACATATATTGAAGCAAACTTTGGTACATTGGACCAGGCTGGAAAACATAATGAGAGTGGAATGGTCAGGGATACTTTGTTGAATGACCAATCTGCAGAAGTCCAGCTAGAGAATCAGCAACACCAGACATTCATGTGGAACTCTCACAGATCAGAGACTATTCCATTGGTTCTAGTCATGCTTATGACACACACTCTTGCTCTGAGAATGATTTCAGAGACACTGACAATCAGGCTGATCAACAGCAGCCTAGGAGGTCTTTAAGAACAAGAAATGTTCCCTCAAAGTTACAAGACTATATTTGTCAGACTACCACATCCAACATCACCATTGCTAGAACTTCTCCTCATTCTCTAGAGAAGTTCATCTCTTACCAAAATTTATCTCCTGATCATAGAATGTGTGCAGCTGCTATTTCTTCCTCTGAGGAACCACAATCTTATCAAGAAGCAGTATTACATTTGGAATGGAGACAAGCCATGGAAGCTGAGATAAATGCTTTAAACCAGAACAAAACTTGGATCTTAACAGAATTGCCAGCTGGTAAAACCCCCATTGGTTGTAGATGGGTGTATAAAGTGAAGCATAGAGCAGATGGCTCTATAGAGAGGTATAAGGCCAGGCTGGTTGCAAAGGGTTATACTCAACAGTTAGGTGTTGATTACATTGAGACTTTCTCACCTGTGGCTAGGATGACCACAATCAAAACCTTCTTGGTTGTGGCTGCTATTAAGGGTTGGAACATTCAACAACTTGACATCAACAATGCTTTTTTACATGGTGACTTAGAGGAGGAAGTCTACATGGTATTACCCCCTGGTTTTAAGAATGGGAAGCCAAATCAGGTATGCAAGCTCATGAGATCCCTGTATGGCCTTAAACAGGCAAGTAGGCAATGGAATGCCAAGTTGACTAAAGCTTTACAAGTGTATGGCTTCCAACAATCTTCTGCAGATCCCTCTTTGTTTACTAGACAAACAGGAACATCTTTCATTGCCTTGTTGGTGTATGTTGATGATATTCTTTTGGCAGGAAATAATTCTGTTCAAATAAATGAATTGAAGCAGTCATTGGATAAAGATTTCAAGATCAAAGACTTGGGCAACTTGAATTATTTCTTAGGCATTGAAGCCTTCAGAACTGATGCTGGAATTAACATTTGCCAAAGGAAATATGCTTTGGAGATCCTAAAAGAACATGGTTTTTTGGAAGCCAAGCCAGCTAAGACTCCTGCTGTCACAGGACAGAAACTGAACAACACTGATGGGATTCCCATCACACAACTTGAAGTTTTCAGAAGGTTAGTTGGGAAACTCTTGTACCTAACCAATACTAGACCTGACATCTCTTATGCAGTCCAGCAACTAAGTCAATTTGTGGAGAAACCAAGAGACACTCATATGGTAGCAGCTCATAGGGTGTTAAGGTACCTAAAAGGGGCACCTGGAAAAGGCTTGTTCTACCCTTCTAATTCTCTTATGAAATTGCAAGGATTTTCAGACTCAGACTGGGCAACTTGTGTGGATAGTAGGAAATCTATGACAGGATATTGTATTTATCTTGGCAATTCTTTGATTTCATGGAAAACCAAGAAGCAAGCTACAATCTCTAGATCATCTTCTAAGGCAGAGTACAGGGCCCTAGCATCCACAACTTGTGAGGTACAGTGGTTGTTATTTCTGTTAGAAGATTTGAAGGCAACATTCTCTACTCCAGTAACTTTGTATTGTGATAACAACTCTGCCATTGCTATTGGTGAGAATTTTGTCTTCCATGAACGCACTAAACACATTGAGATTGATTGTCATGTGGTTAGACAAAAGATCAATGAAGGGGTTGTCAAACTTCTTGCTGTTTCTTCCCAGAATCAGACTGCAGATGGCTTCACAAAAGCCTTGCCTAAGCCCTTGTTTGACAAGTTCCATGATAAGTTGGGCCTTCAAGATCTTCATGCTCCAGCTTACGGGGGGGGGGGGGGGGGGGGGTGATGAAGTAATACACAGCTCAGTCATATCTTCAATCCCTTCAATCCTCTCAAACATCTCAAATATTTGCTTGCAGCAGTCCAGTTCAGCTCCTCTCTGCTTTGCTTTCTTTCTTAGCTTAATAAGTCAGGGGTTTATTAGTCTTTTCCCTTTCCCTTGGCAGTTATAACGGCTTGTCTATATAGCCTATGATGTGTAAGCTGTAGATAGGTTGATACTTCCATCTCTTCTTCCAGCCTGTAAACACATGAACTCTCTTTATCTTCTTCAATGGAATGCATACTGTTTTTCTTCTAGTCCTTGAGGTTTCTCAACAAAATTGTGTATCATAGGAATCGAAGTAGAATCAGAATCGTACGAACGATTCCGATTTGATCATTTCAAAAATCAAAAGACAACTTAATTTTAGTAAAACTAAGTGCAAGTCCACAATTATTTTTACTTTTTAAGTATATAATCATTAAAAAAAATTAGAATGAAAATATTTCAAAAAATAATTGTTGAAATTCGACTATTTAAAAAATAAAAAAGTTCAAACCAAAAGTTCAAATCAGAACCGTCGATTCCAATTTACTACTTTCTAGAACTGTGAATCATCGATTTAAAACCGTAACCGAACCGTGTTCATATAGGTTCATAAATACTCAAATGAATGTCTAATTCATTAACAAAGGCAAGCCTTTTCCAGCTTCTTCCTCCTTTTCTTTTAATCTTTGATTATTCCTTTTTTTCTCATCGTTATTATAATTAGTTAATAGTTAATTACCTTATTCATTGCATTCAAAATTAAATTACGTACGTAACTCTTAAAAAAGGAAGTTATTGGTATAATTAGTATTTCCCATTTAAAGTTGATAGAATCCTGTAGAAACCCCACCGCACAAAATATATTTGTATTGCCACCATCTAAGGCCACTCCTTTAATTTATGGTCCTCTGATCTTCTGTATTATAAAAAAAAATCTGATTACCCAACTTTGAAATGTAGAAGTTTTGGTATGAAAGAGACAAGTCGCATGGATAATACGGAACAATAATTAAATAATTAAAATTAATTTTGTTTGTCTTAGACTATCCTACGGTCCTCCCTAAATCTCAGCTCCAATCTAGCGTCTGGCCAACCGACACACGAAGAAAACACTCCTTCGCTTGAAGCTTCGCATGCATCCCCCCTCCCCGGGGCTCTCCATCACATTATTGCCTATAAATTTACCATTATCGCCACATTCACATCTCCATCGACACATACATACAAACAGCTTAACTTCTTGATCTGATCTGAATATTTGTTTACCAATATAATGGCTCCTTGTTCTAACGAAAGCGTTGAAAATGGTAGTGTTCTCGTTAATGGCGGCTGTAAAGGATCATCATCATCAGCGATCACGCTGAAAGATTCGAAATTCATGGTCGCCGATCATGTTATTCTTTCGGAAGTTCCACCTAGTATTGTAGCCACTCCTTCACGTTACACTGTCGGAGAACTATCGACGACGGCGGCGGGCTGTTTCGTCGGCTTCGAGGCTGCGGAGGCTAAGTGCCACCACGTGGCGGCGGTGGGAAAGCTGAAGGATATCAAGTTCATGAGCATTTTCCGGTTTAAAGTGTGGTGGACCACCCACTGGACCGGAAGCAATGGGCGTGACCTAGAATACGAGACTCAAATTCTCATTCTCGACAGCTCCGATTCCGGCCGCCCATACGTCGTCGTTCTTCCACTCCTGGAAGGACCTTTCCGGGCCTCGCTCCAGCCCGGAAAAGACGACGATTTCGTCGACATCTGCGTCGAGAGCGGGTCGACGAAAGTCTCCGGCGATTCGTTCCGGAGTGTTCTCTACATGCATGCCGGCAACGATCCATTCAGTTTGGTGAAAGACGCCATTAAAGTCGCAAGGGTTCATCTTGGGACCTTCAAGCTCTTAGAGGAAAAATCTCCTCCGGGAATCGTGGACAAATTTGGTTGGTGCACCTGGGATGCTTTCTACCTCACAGTTCACCCTCAAGGTGTTTGGGATGGGGTCCACAGCCTCGTGGAAGGTGGGTGCCCACCTGGACTCGTCCTGATCGACGACGGATGGCAGTCCATTTCTCACGACGACGATCCCATCACGAGCGAGGGCATGAACAGAACCGCCGCCGGCGAGCAAATGCCTTGCAGGCTCATAAAATTCCAAGAAAATTACAAGTTCAGAGATTACGCCAGCCCGAAAAGTGGGACCAAGGGCATGGGCGCCTTCATCAAAGACCTCAAGGAGACTTTCAACACAGTGGACTACGTGTACGTTTGGCATGCGTTGTGCGGGTACTGGGGCGGGCTTAGGCCTAAGGTTTCGGGCTTACCCGAATCAAATATAATCCGGCCCAAGTTGACCCCGGGCCTGGAGAAGACCATGGAAGATCTTGCGGTTGACAAAATAGTTAACAACGGAATCGGGCTGGTCCCACCAGAAATGGCCCATCAACTGTACGAGGGCCTACACTCTCACTTGGAGTCCGTTGGTATCGACGGAGTCAAAGTCGACGTGATTCACGTAAGTTCTAGATATCACTGTGTTTGGTCGGCACGCAATTAAGCAACAAATTTAATATTTAGTGAATATTAAAAAAAAATGATGTAATATATTTTGATATATAAATGTGTACAGTTGCTGGAAATGCTGTGTGAGGATTATGGTGGTCGGGTAGAGCTTGCTAAAGCTTACTACAAAGCCTTGACGTCTTCAGTCAAAAAGCATTTCAATGGCAACGGGGTCATTGCAAGCATGGAGCACTGCAACGACTTTATGTTTCTCGGAACCGAAGCCATTTCCCTTGGTCGTGTTGGTAAGTATATATACGTATAGTACCTTTATTTGTGTTAGAGCTAGTATGGTTGGATTTTAGTTGATGTAGGTGTAATTGAAATAAGTTTTAATGTGTTTGGGTTATTGGTGTTAATAGGAGATGATTTTTGGTGCACTGACCCTTCGGGTGATCCAAATGGCACGTTTTGGCTACAAGGTTGTCATATGGTCCATTGTGCTTATAATAGTTTATGGATGGGAAATTTCATTCACCCTGATTGGGACATGTTCCAGTCTACTCACCCTTGCGCCGAATTCCATGCCGCCTCCCGTGCCATCTCCGGTGGCCCCATTTACGTAAGTGACTCGCCTAAAAATCATAACTTTGACCTTCTCAAGAAATTAGTCTTGCCTAATGGATCCATCCTGCGTTGCCAACATTATGCACTTCCGACTCGTGATTGTCTCTTTGAAGACCCTCTCCACAATGGCAAGACCATGCTCAAAATTTGGAACCTCAACAAGGTATGTATAGTAAAAGTTAACAATGCATTATATTATATTCTTCAATTAAGCTGCTAGCCTTTTTCGTAGCTAGGTTCAATGTTTATTCATGTGTTTCGAATTCTTTGTTAAATCTAACAGTACACTGGAGTTGTTGGAACATTTAACTGCCAAGGAGGGGGGTGGTGTCGTGAAGCAAGACGTAACAAATGCGCCTCAGAGTGTTCTCATGTTTTGTCATGTCATGCCGGGCCTAAGGACGTGGAGTGGAGCCAAGGATCCATGCAAACTTGTGTACAAGATGTAGAAGCATTTGCGCTTTACTTGTTCCAAGAGAAAAAGCTAGTCCTTGTGAACCCAACAGACAACATTCATATTACACTTGAGCCATTCAATTTCGAGCTCATTACCATTGCTCCCATCGCAAAGTTTGGGCCTAAAGGCATCCAGGTTGCGCCTATTGGGCTTGTTAACATGCTCAATAGTGGTGGTGCTATTCAATCGCTTAAATTTGATGATGAGAACAATTCCTTAGTAGTTGAGCTTAAGGGTACCGGTGAAATGCGTTTGTATGCCTCGCAGAAGCCTACAATTTGCAGAGTCAATGGGATTGATGCTCCTGTTGTTTATGAGGATCAAATGGTTTCAACCCAAGTTCCATGGGTTAGCCCATCGGGTTCTTTGATAATTGAGTACTTTTTTTAATTGAATTACTTATTGAATTTCATTTTTCTCAATCTTTTTTTTTAAAAAAAAAAAAAAAACATTGTTTGTTTGTTTTTGATGTAATTTTCATTCCTTAGTCAAGATGTCTAGCTTGATGTCTGTGTTAATATCTACAATGTAATGTATTGTGATTTTAACATATAATTACGGGAGTGATATATTTTATGTAACTTTTGTTGGTGCAAATCTCATGGCTCCCATTATTATTTGGTAAGCATAATAAAAAAAACATATAATTCACCCTCATATTTTACGTTTATACAATTTATTTAATTTTATGCTTCGTAAAGAAAAAACTAAACGAACATCAACAACAATTAGAATCTAAACGTTTGGAATTTGGAATCAATTAGATATTATAAAAAATGAATTTTGCATTTAGGTGTATTGCATTAGCTCATTGCCAAAATCTAAAAAATTAGAAAAGTAGCGTTTTTGATTAACTGACTCATTCTTCGCTATATTTTCGTAAAAACAATAACAATGTTTTTATTCTATATATGTTGCTCATCCTTGTGTAATAATAATAATAATAATAAAATAACTAAATAAATAAAAATTGTTTAAAAAAAATTGTAACAGTAATTTCATAATTAAGAAATTAGCGCAATATATTTATGTTTTATATGATTATTTCATAGACAATCAGCTAAAAATAATTTTACAAAACATTTTTTTACAATCGATTAATTACTCCGTAATTAGTAACTAACTTAATCAACTACCAAGCATCAGTCATCTGCTAGAGAGTGGGGAACAAAATGACAAATAGATAAATGGCAACGAGTCTCCCTGGTTCATATACTTTTAATCAAAAGGAGAAATACGAAGACTACCAAACTACGGTCAGCCCATGAGTACTGGACTCTGGAGGCGACGTTCATTTATATAAAATAACTATATTTGTGTACATACATACATATAATATAATATACACACAAACAAACATACGAATTCGGCTGGGAAAATCAAAACCCTAACCCCGAGACGCAATCCAAATCGATCGAATCCCCGGTTTGTTCTCTTATCTCCTTGTTTATGCTTTCTCTAATTTGATCCGTGTGAGCTAATGTTGTGATTACATGGCCGCGGATTGTATTAGGGATTTTTTGTTGGGAGGGGTGGAGCACTCAACTTTTTCTTTCGTTTTTCTTTTTCCTGTAATGTTTTCCTCTGAATTTGTATTTAGTAGTTGATCCTTGTGCTGAAATGTAGTTGATGCAAGTTGAATTGAGCTTGCAAACTCAAGTGCAAATTCATTTCAGGTCTTTCGAACCTTACATTTTTTTTGCCGGTTTACGTTAGGAATAGCTTTAGCTTGAGACGGATTTTACGTACTTGAGTTGATTAAGGAATTGGGGAATTGCCCTGACTTATAGTGATGGTGCATTATTGAAGAAGACTGAATATTTTGTGTTGATCATGTTTTTAGTTGGTCTCATAAAACTTGATGTTCGCCAAACTGCTTACTATGCTTTCCACAAACATGTTGGGTTTTGCTTCAAATTAGAACAGTAGGATTGTTGGCCAAAATTCTCAATCTATTTGAGTCAGTTGTATGGTTTCTATTTTTTCATTTTCTAGATTCCATTACATGTTTTGACAAAGCATTGTGCTGGCCATCAACCTTCCTTGGTCCATTGCCTTCCTTCTTACCTCAGATTACCTTGCAAGAGAAGGGATGTATGTATAAAGGATATGCAACTTCCATAAAATTTGTGAAGACCGCATACTGTTTATGAGTTTATATTGAATTAGACTATGTAAACCATATTTTTAATTTAGTTCTAGAAATATATGCATAAACACTTACAGTTTATGTCTATTTTCAAATTTAGGAATACCTTTAGAAATTATTTTTGGAAATTTGGAAAATTGAGATACGCATATTGGTTATGCGGTTCTCTAAAGATGCATAACCAAAAATATTTTTTTGCATTTTTGTCCAGTTTTGGAAACATGCACATTTTTGTCAACTGCCCCCAGAAATCAGAAATATTGGCATCTCTCTCTTTCTCTCTCTGTGTTTATTACATACACTTGTATGCACCTAGCCACCTAGGCACATCAAAAAGTAATTTCTGTGACTTCGTACGGACATTACAAACATATGAGACCAAATTCATTGATATATTCTTTCATAAGATGCATGTCCTAACTCTCCCCACATTTTGCAGCACACATTTCTCTTTTAAGAGTTTACATTTATGGCAGTATCCTTCTCCCTCTGAAGAGGATAATTTATGCAATGCTCAATGGTAGTTTTCTGTGCAATGAATTAGTTCCAGTTATCTGATTTGTCTATGTTATTTTTCTGCCTTTCAGGTCCTAAAGGTATTGCTGAGTTGATTTGGTCCAACGAATTAGTACTATTATCTCTTTTACTTTTACCTGGAACATAGATTTTTTGGTGTCATAAATTTAGTCTGACCACTATAACTCATGGTGCTCAAAGTTTCATCTCTGAAGCCAGCACTTTCAACTTCTGATAGTGACAGTGATCCTGAAGAAAAAGAAATCAGTGAAGAGGATGATGATGATCGTAATCATAAGCACCGTAGGAAGGGAACACGTTCCCAATCTGTTGAGATGGATCCTTATGAATCAGTTTTGACCAGGCCTTACAGGAAACACAAGCCCTTTGAAAATGGACACCTTTACCGGGAATCTGATTCTGCCACTTTTGGAAAAGAACAGACCACGAGATTCGAAAAAAGACGAGGCATGAATTCATTTCCCAGAGCCCCACAAATTGCAAACCAAAGAATAACACCGAACTTACTGTCTGGAGACTGTAGAGGTCGAGGAAGGGAACCAGGTGTTTGGTTCCAGCGTGATTTGAGGTTCAGCTCAGTTGATATTGTGCCTCAACCGATTCAACAAGGCTCCACTGCACCTAGTTTTTTCGCTGGAAGAGGCATGCCAAATGCTTCCCATGCACAAAGTTCATCTTGGGCGACATTTGGAATGGTTCCTGGTGTCCCTAATACTGGTCTGGATATACTGCATCCCCATGGTTTACAAGGTACACTTATGGCACCGTTGAACCCCTCCATAGGTATGGGAATACCCCGGCAAAGATGTAGAGATTTTGAGGAGCGTGGATTTTGCCTAAGAGGAGACATGTGCCCAATGGAACATGGAGTCAATCGAATTGTTGTTGAAGATGTTCAGGTATTTCTTTCTACTGGTGGACACTATTATCCTTACCATAAACTTATATTTTGTATGTGTTGGTTTTGGCCTTACTACATTGGCAGTGTAATAAACAACCATCACCTCATTTTGTAGCAAGTAATTATAGTAACATGGACAATTATATTGCAGATAGTATTGGTTTTAGGGGCAAAAGGATAAGGTGGTTGGCCATGGAAAATTGAATGCCACAAGCCCTGGAGTATTTGTTTTTTAATTAATTAATTAATTATTTTTAAACTACACACTGTAAATATTATTTAAAAATAGAAATAGGGAACATAGAAGATAATATTTTTTTTTTCCATTATTAAGCTAGTAAATAATATTCAGTTGCCTTTTGCATCTTGGGCATCATTCTTTCAAGTCGTATTGGATTTAGTCATTGAGAGGTTGGTTGTTGGGAACATTTTCTCTGTAAATCAGTAAATTACATCATGTTGGAACCTACTTAACCATGTTATTTCTAAATTGCAGAGCCTTTCTCAGTTTAATCTCCCTGTTTCGGTTCCTTCTGCACACCTGATGGGAACAGTTGGTGGACAAGGAGCTCTACCTGCAGTTGGTCCTTCTGGTTCATTGATCAATTGCAAAGCTCTACATAAAGGTGGCAAGCCTGGAATGACTGAGGAAGGATTAGGCTTGAATGGTGCACTTGTGGGAAGTTCTCTGGCTGGGGGAGCTGATGTTTATGATCCTGATCAGCCTTTATGGACAAGTGATCATCATGAGACATCAGCTGCAGTCCTTGGAGTTAATCCACCAAGTGTTGATGAAACTGGGGCTTTGGTGGATGTGAAATGTGATCACGGTCAGGTTGGGCTGTCTGATGGCAATGATATTGAGCACCCAATTATAAGCAGTGGGGCTGCTACTGAATCTCAAGGTGCTATGGGAAGAATTGGCAGTTCAAACAATAAAGCACAAGTGAAGGAGAAGATTGATTCCACTGTAGATGCTTTAAGTCATCTTGATTATGAAGCAAAAAAAGGTCTAGATTCATCAAGTAGCATTGAATGTGCATTCCGTCATGGGAAACATATAGATTCTGAAAATACTGACCCACACATGACAGAACTGTCTTTTAAGTCACAAAGTAATATTGGACGCAATATGAAAAAATCTTCTCAAAAGGCAATTCGAACTCTCTTTGTTAATGGCATCCCACAAAAGGACAACAAAAGGGAAGTTCTTTTTTCTCATTTTCAAAAATTTGGAGAGATAATTGACATTTATATCCCACTGAACAGTGATCGAGCTTTTGTCCAATTTTCTAAGAGAGAAGAAGCTGAGGCAGCTTTAAAGGCCCCTGATGCTGTGATGGGAAACCGTTTTATCAAGCTTTGGTGGGCTAAAAGGGACCGTATTACAGAAAATGGAGTAAGTACTGGCAATAATACACAAAGACATGCTGCTGGGGTGACACCAGCTTCAGTTTCATCCAATGTCTCTGTTGCTTATAAAGGAAAAGAAAGTATTCAATCTGCAGTTCACAGAAGTTCTGTTGCTGCTCCGCCTGCACCTGATAATCCTAAGCCTGTTATTACTAATGGTCCAAGGGCCCTGCCACCTTCGCAAAAGAAGCTGGAAAGTTTAGAAATGTTAAAGGAAGAACTTCGTAAAAAGCAGGAGATGCTTGATCAAAAGCGTAATGAGTTTCGGCGGCAATTGGATAAACTTGAGAAACAAGTAAATGCGAGTTAACTCCTCTATTTAATTTCAGCAGAAAATGCCATTTATAATGTTATATTTGTGATTTAGTATTTTGGATAGTATGATACTTGGTCATAGATTTAAATTTCTGCTACTGAAATTCCTTAAGGAGTCGGTCAGTCTAGGAATCATACTGTTCCCTCACATTATGGGATGATAAGTTGATAACATGCATGCTTAATCGTAAGTACTCATTTATTGATTGTGCTTATTAAAAATTACTCTTGTTTTGTAAACTGGATTTTTATTTGGCTGGTATTTCTTTTGCTCTCAT